GTAAAATAACACAGTGGAAGTCACTCCCAACTTGGGGGTCACAGCACCGAGTGGTCCTATCACAACTGGGACTACTACTGCCTTCACTTTCCACATCTATTCCAGCTCTTCTTTCAGTCCTTGGTATTTTTCAATCTTCTCACCTTTTTTCCTGATGGTATAGTTACTGGGTATTGTCACGTCCACCACCACGACAGTCTTCCATTCCTTGTCTACCACCACCATGTCGGGTTGGTTGGCCAATACTTACTTGTCTGTCTGTCATATTCTGAGCAGATCTTTCAGTACACAATCCCAGCAACTTGGTTGTGTCTCTTAGTGTATGCTGATCCTGCTAACATCTTGCATGTGGATACTCTATGCTGGATTGTAAATTGAGAAGAGAAAAATAGAGAGTGTGTATCAAACTGCTGGAATGAGTAGGGGGGTAACCCCTGTTGAATGAAATATAAGTAAGAGGAAAAATACAACGTAAACCTGGGGAGTGCACGTCCAGTATATCCTAGTGCACCTACAGGATACTTGTATAGAAGTCAGCAGTCTCAAAATTAAAATATAACTTTAATAATTTAAATTTAAAAATATATACGTGGTCGGAGAGGACAGAACTTACAAAAGTCAGGAGGAAGGAGATATGCTTGCTAGTATCAAATAGTGGCACAAATAATGGGAGTGCAGGAGGGGGTAGATAGAGAAAATCTGAACTCCAACTAATCCCCAGCGTACCCTCTCTTGCCTAAAGCAACCCAAAAGCCCAAAGCTAGCAAAGTCACTAACTCCTAACTCTAAAACTTAAATAATAAGCCTGACGGTAGAAATAGCTGCTTAATCGAAGAGAAAACGTCCTAACTAAAAACCAAATCGGGTAGAGAGATCTCGAGGGGGGTGACTAAATATAAAGTAATGAATTTTGCAGGAGCGTCCTCCCTATCTATCAGATTCACCCTCCCCTCAGTTCTTCCCGACGCGCGTTTCGCCGACTAGCGGCTTTTCAAGGGAACCGGGTGTAGGAGAGATCGAGGTTTAAATATCCCGCCCTCTCTTGTGATCGGCCCGAAGTAATAGCCTGCACGGAGGGAGGGAGCTTGGGTCTCATCTGTGATTAACCCTTTCAGGGTCAAAAACGAGTGTATACACGGATGGGACACTCACTTAAATAAAGAAAAAGAATGTCATTAAATAATGTTCAGTATTGGAACGAACGATGAATTAATTCAGCTAGAGCTGCAATGATACTTATAGTGGTACTCTACACAATGTTAAACAAAAAAGATACTGCTAGAATAGTAAACATGTTAAGATTTATTACAAAATAAATTAATGTTTCAGCAACGAAAGTTGCAACTTATAAGATAGTGCTTCTTCTAATATGTATTGGTATGATGCCAATAATATTGAAAGCACTTATACACTAAAGGTATTTAACTTGTGTCAAATGTATAGTAAAGGTATTTCCACTTATTTAAAGGGAAACACATAGTGATTAAATGAAATCACACTAGTATAGATAGTTACTGAGGGGTGTATAGAAAAAGTAGGTATGAAATGTCTTAAATTTAAATCCTTTCTAATTGATTGCATAAATTCTGATTTGCCAATATGACAGCTGGAGTTCTTCACTACATATAGTGTAAGCTTCCGAACCATTCCTATACGGCAATTTAAGACACTAACCATCTCTAGGTATGAATAAACGGAGTAAAGTTAAACTCCTCGTTTAATCCTTTGGGGTATAGTGTTTGGAAGGAGTAAATCCATCTGGACTCAGCTTTCAGTAGCGAGACATTGATGTCCCCTTTCCTATGGTTCTGAAAGATTTTTTGGATTACCTGGAATTTGAGTACCTTAGTTTGGGAGGCGTGATTAAGTCTTACATGTCTCGCAATAGGGGTATCCATATGAGGATTCATAATGGAATTGATATGTTGTAAAATTCGTCTGCGTAGTTGTTGGTATGTCTTCCCAATGTACTGTAACCCACAAGCACATGTCATAAGGTATATTACATTGGTAGAGCTGCAGTTGATAAAAGTATTAATCACTACGTCTTTGGATGTCCTTTTGTTATGCACTGTCTTAGATGGTAAAATGAAATCACAGGCCTTACAGTGGCCGCATTTAAATAGACCCTTGGTTTGTAGCCATGTAGGGGTAGCTTGAGCTGGTTTGAAGTGGCTATGTGTTAAGTGGTCCGCCAGGTTCTTGGCTCTTCGAAATGTCATAGATGGTTCAGTGGAAATGGTATTTATAAGACTAGTGTCATATTGAAGTACAGGCCAATTCCTATTCAATACCTGAAGTGCCTGGTTCCAGTTCCTATCATATGTGCCAATAAACCTTGTTGTACCCTGGGTGGTGGATGTATTTTTAGGGGGTCTGTGTAGACTCTCTGATCTATCCGCGGCCTTCGTTCTTTGATAGGCTTTCTTTAAAATCCTGTTGGGGTAGCCTAAGCTTTTGAATCTTGATCTTAATTCTTTGGCTTCCTTCTCAAAGTCTTCCTGATTCGAGCAATTCCTTTTGGCTCTTAAATATTGGCCATATGGTATATTGGCCTTCACATGATGGGGATGGAAGCTCTGCCAGTGGAGCAAGCTGTTGGTTGCCGTGGGTTTCCTGAATAGGGATGTAGTAACTTGCCCATCATCCAAGATATGAATCATTAGGTCCAGAAAAACCAATTGGTTCTCATGTATGACATGAGTCAGCTGTAGGTTAATTTGATTATCGTTCAGGGTATCCACCATTTCCTTGAACAATGGAAAAGAACCCAACCAGAAGATTAGCACGTCGTCTATATAGCGATACCACTTTAATACAGATGACGTGTAGATTTCATTGGGGGTGGTAAAGACCATCGTTTCTTCCCACCACCCTAAATACAAGTTTGCATAGCTGGGTGCACACGACGAACCCATGGCAGTGCCCCTGAGTTGTAAATAATATTTACCATTGAATGTAAAATAGTTGTGAGTAAGTATATATTTCAAAAGTGCCAAAATGAACCGTTGTTCTAGTTCATTGAAAATTTTTGTCTTATCAAGAAAATAAGCCACTCCCATGAGGCCCTTAACGTGTGGGATGTTGTTATACAATGCCACCACGTCCAAGCTTGCCACGGACGTATAGGGAGGCACTGTAAGGTTTTCCAATACCAGCAAGGTCTGTTTGGTATCACGTATATGAGATTTAAGGCTTTGTACTATGGGTTGTAACAGTTTATCCAGAAATTGACTTGCTCTCTCTGTCAGACTGTGGTTGCCAGAGATTATGGGTCTCCCCGGAGGGTTACTCAAATCCTTATGCACCTTAGGGAGACAGTAGAAGGTGGCTATGGTAATATTTGACTGGGACACAATGTATTTATACTCGTTTTGAGTAATTACTTTATCTGTTAATGCTCCTTGTACCAATGTCTGTAAGTCCCTAAGAAACCCTCTCGTGGGATCTTCTTTTAGAGTTTGGTATGCCCTTTCATCTGATAAGTGTGTCATACACATATCTATATACTGGCTTCTCTGCATGAGGACTATGTTTCCTCCCTTGTCTGAGGATTTTATCTCCACTTCCGTTGCAGATTGCAATTCTTGTAAAGCCTGTCTCTCTTCTGCCTTTAGATTAGGGGTTAGAGACTGTTGGGTATGTTGACACTCTAGTTCTTTTGTACAGATCTGAACAAATAGATCAATACATGGGAAATCTTTTAGATTGGGAGTGAACCAACTAGGTGGTTTACAATCTGTTAGTGATTCTAGCTTTTCTTGTTCTGAATATAGGTCTGTAAGAAGTCTATATATTGCATTATCCTCTGGGGGGGTGGCCTAATTCCTTGAGGGTTCTAAGGTTTCTTTTTTCATGAAATGCATGCAAGGCTAATTTTCGGCCAAAAAGATTCACGTCCTTAGCCCAATTAAACATATTCCTAGAGGGTGTGGGTACAAAAGATAACCCTTTTTGTAGAAGAGAGACATGTCTGGATTTTAAAACAAAGTTGGACAGGTTTATTATTTTATTTTCCTGTAGGGCATTAGTCATTGGTAGTTGGACTTGTGTGTCTTGTAGCCCCATTTTTTCCTGTCTCTGAGTCGTTCTCGCTGTGGTTGGGGCCAGTCCTGGTCTAAAAAAGTCAAAGACGATTGGGACGAACCTGACGAAGTTTCTTGTCTGGAACTGGAGTCTGACACAGTTACAAGGGGAGGGCCTGCAAAGGAAATATTTTTTTCGGTGTTTCTAAGGATACCTCTAGTTTGACCAGTGGGAGATTTATAATTGTTTCTATTAAACCCGGGTCTTTTGTTCTGACGCCAGTGTGTTTCTGAGTCAGACCATTCGGTTTCCTCAGAGGAAGAAAACCCTTTGCCCACATTTCTATTTCTAAAGTTTCGTTTGTTTTTATTTTTAAAGATATTGCCTTCCTGAAAGTCTCTAAAATCCCTTTGAAATTTGTAATGTTTTTTGTGTCTGATATTCCTCTTAAAGTTCTCTAAGTTTTTTTGTAATTTAGTTTCCATAGCTGTAAAATTTGGATCTTTGTCAAATATTTTAATTTTCTTAATTTCACTGTCTAGCTCTCCATTGGTTTTTTCTAGGCTTTCTTGTTCCAACTTGGTCAGGAACTGCATTATCCTGGCTGAACAGTCTAGCAGGATGGAATTCCACTCTGCAATCTGTTCTTCAGTTTTAACTTTGTCAGGTAGTAGGATGTCTGGTCTAAGGCCCCTTGGTACCAATTATATATATACTGGACGTGCACTCCCCAGGTTTACGTTGTATTTTTCCTCTTACTTATATTTCATTCAACAGGGGTTACCCCCCTACTCATTCCAGCAGTTTGATACACACTCTCTATTTTTCTCTTCTCAATTTACTTTCTTCATCAGGTTTCAATACCATTAATACAAATAGGGAGTTGTAATTAAGGACATCTTTATATATATATTTTTTGGTTCATAGAATACAACAGATTTACTAACGTTGTGTTAAAATTCAGCTAAGAAAGTATGACAGACTTTTTAGAACAAGTGATACACCCAGACTTTAGATCTGAAGATGTAGTAAATGTGTTTTCCACTAATCCTCTGGGGAATACTACTAGTGAATCTAGCAATATTAACCAGGCTTTTTTTGCGATACAAAAATTATACCAAACTCAATTGAGGGGCTTTTGGGAACTGGCTAGCCTAAAGCACTATATAGAACAAAAATTGGTACCAAGGGGCCTTAGACCAGACATCCTACTACCTGACAAAGTTAAAACTGAAGAACAGATTGCAGAGTGGAATTCCATCCTGCTAGACTGTTCAGCCAGGATAATGCAGTTCCTGACCAAGTTGGAACAAGAAAGCCTAGAAAAAACCAATGGAGAGCTAGACAGTGAAATTAAGAAAATTAAAATATTTGACAAAGATCCAAATTTTACAGCTATGGAAACTAAATTACAAAAAAACTTAGAGAACTTTAAGAGGAATATCAGACACAAAAAACATTACAAATTTCAAAGGGATTTTAGAGACTTTCAGGAAGGCAATATCTTTAAAAATAAAAACAAACGAAACTTTAGAAATAGAAATGTGGGCAAAGGGTTTTCTTCCTCTGAGGAAACCGAATGGTCTGACTCAGAAACACACTGGCGTCAGAACAAAAGACCCGGGTTTAATAGAAACAATTATAAATCTCCCACTGGTCAAACTAGAGGTATCCTTAGAAACACCGAAAAAAATATTTCCTTTGCAGGCCCTCCCCTTGTAACTGTGTCAGACTCCAGTTCCAGACAAGAAACTTCGTCAGGTTCGTCCCAATCGTCTTTGACTTTTTTAGACCAGGACTGGCCCCAACCACAGCGAGAACGACTCAGAGACAGGAAAAAATGGGGCTACAAGACACACAAGTCCAACTACCAATGACTAATGCCCTACAGGAAAATAAAATAATAAACCTGTCCAACTTTGTTTTAAAATCCAGACATGTCTCTCTTCTACAAAAAGGGTTATCTTTTGTACCCACACCCTCTAGGAATATGTTTAATTGGGCTAAGGACGTGAATCTTTTTGGCCGAAAATTAGCCTTGCATGCATTTCATGAAAAAAGAAACCTTAGAACCCTCAAGGAATTAGGCCACCCCCCCAGAGGATAATGCAATATATAGACTTCTTACAGACCTATATTCAGAACAAGAAAAGCTAGAATCACTAACAGATTGTAAACCACCTAGTTGGTTCACTCCCAATCTAAAAGATTTCCCATGTATTGATCTATTTGTTCAGATCTGTACAAAAGAACTAGAGTGTCAACATACCCAACAGTCTCTAACCCCTAATCTAAAGGCAGAAGAGAGACAGGCTTTACAAGAATTGCAATCTGCAACGGAAGTGGAGATAAAATCCTCAGACAAGGGAGGAAACATAGTCCTCATGCAGAGAAGCCAGTATATAGATATGTGTATGACACACTTATCAGATGAAAGGGCATACCAAACTCTAAAAGAAGATCCCACGAGAGGGTTTCTTAGGGACTTACAGACATTGGTACAAGGAGCATTAACAGATAAAGTAATTACTCAAAACGAGTATAAATACATTGTGTCCCAGTCAAATATTACCATAGCCACCTTCTACTGTCTCCCTAAGGTGCATAAGGATTTGAGTAACCCTCCGGGGAGACCCATAATCTCTGGCAACCACAGTCTGACAGAGAGAGCAAGTCAATTTCTGGATAAACTGTTACAACCCATAGTACAAAGCCTTAAATCTCATATACGTGATACCAAACAGACCTTGCTGGTATTGGAAAACCTTACAGTGCCTCCCTATACGTCCGTGGCAAGCTTGGACGTGGTGGCATTGTATAACAACATCCCACACGTTAAGGGCCTCATGGGAGTGGCTTATTTTCTTGATAAGACAAAAATTTTCAATGAACTAGAACAACGGTTCATTTTGGCACTTTTGAAATATATACTTACTCACAACTATTTTACATTCAATGGTAAATATTATTTACAACTCAGGGGCACTGCCATGGGTTCGTCGTGTGCACCCAGCTATGCAAACTTGTATTTAGGGTGGTGGGAAGAAACGATGGTCTTTACCACCCCCAATGAAATCTACACGTCATCTGTATTAAAGTGGTATCGCTATATAGACGACGTGCTAATCTTCTGGTTGGGTTCTTTTCCATTGTTCAAGGAAATGGTGGATACCCTGAACGATAATCAAATTAACCTACAGCTGACTCATGTCATACATGAGAACCAATTGGTTTTTCTGGACCTAATGATTCATATCTTGGATGATGGGCAAGTTACTACATCCCTATTCAGGAAACCCACGGCAACCAACAGCTTGCTCCACTGGCAGAGCTTCCATCCCCATCATGTGAAGGCCAATATACCATATGGCCAATATTTAAGAGCCAAAAGGAATTGCTCGAATCAGGAAGACTTTGAGAAGGAAGCCAAAGAATTAAGATCAAGATTCAAAAGCTTAGGCTACCCCAACAGGATTTTAAAGAAAGCCTATCAAAGAACGAAGGCCGTGGATAGATCAGAGAGTCTACACAGACCCCCTAAAAATACATCCACCACCCAGGGTACAACAAGGTTTATTGGCACATATGATAGGAACTGGAACCAGGCACTTCAGGTATTGAATAGGTATTGGCCTGTACTTCAATATGACACTAGTCTTATAAATACCATTTCCACTGAACCATCTATGACATTTCGAAGAGCCAAGAACCTGGCGGACCACTTAACACATAGCCACTTCAAACCAGCTCAAGCTACCCCTACATGGCTACAAACCAAGGGTCTATTTAAATGCAGCCACTGTAAGGCCTGTGATTTCATTTTACCATCTAAGACAGTGCATAACAAAAGGACATCCAAAGACGTAGTGATTAATACTTTTATCAACTGCAGCTCTACCAATGTAATATACCTTATGACATGTGCTTGTGGGTTACAGTACATTGGGAAGACATACCAACAACTACGCAGACGAATTTTACAACATATCAATTCCATTATGAATCCTCATATGGATACCCCTATTGCGAGACATGTAAGACTTAATCACGCCTCCCAAACTAAGGTACTCAAATTCCAGGTAATCCAAAAAATCTTTCAGAACCATAGGAAAGGGGACATCAATGTCTCGCTACTGAAAGCTGAGTCCAGATGGATTTACTCCTTCCAAACACTATACCCCAAAGGATTAAACGAGGAGTTTAACTTTACTCCGTTTATTCATACCTAGAGATGGTTAGTGTCTTAAATTGCCGTATAGGAATGGTTCGGAAGCTTACACTATATGTAGTGAAGAACTCCAGCTGTCATATTGGCAAATCAGAATTTATGCAATCAATTAGAAAGGATTTAAATTTAAGACATTTCATACCTACTTTTTCTATACACCCCTCAGTAACTATCTATACTAGTGTGATTTCATTTAATCACTATGTGTTTCCCTTTAAATAAGTGGAAATACCTTTACTATACATTTGACACAAGTTAAATACCTTTAGTGTATAAGTGCTTTCAATATTATTGGCATCATACCAATACATATTAGAAGAAGCACTATCTTATAAGTTGCAACTTTCGTTGCTGAAACATTAATTTATTTTGTAATAAATCTTAACATGTTTACTATTCTAGCAGTATCTTTTTTGTTTAACATTGTGTAGAGTACCACTATAAGTATCATTGCAGCTCTAGCTGAATTAATTCATCGTTCGTTCCAATACTGAACATTATTTAATGACATTCTTTTTCTTTATTTAAGTGAGTGTCCCATCCGTGTATACACTCGTTTTTGACCCTGAAAGGGTTAATCACAGATGAGACCCACGCTCCCTCCCTCCGTGCAGGCTATTACTTCGGGCCAATCACAAGAGAGGGCGGGATATTTAAACCTCGATCTCTCCTACACCCGGTTCCCTTGAAAAGCCGCTAGTCGGCGAAACGCGCGTCGGGAAGAACTGAGGGGAGGGTGAATCTGATAGATAGGGAGGACGCTCCTGCAAAATTCATTACTTTATATTTAGTCACCCCCCTCGAGATCTCTCTACCCGATTTGGTTTTTAGTTAGGACAGTTTCTCTTCGATTAAGCAGCTATTTCTACCGTCAGGCTTATTATTTAAGTTTTAGAGTTAGGAGTTAGTGACTTTGCTAGCTTTGGGCTTTTGGGTTGCTTTAGGCAAGAGAGGGTACGCTGGGGATTAGTTGGAGTTCAGATTTTCTCTATCTACCCCCTCCTGCACTCCCATTATTTGTGCCACTATTTGATACTAGCAAGCATATCTCCTTCCTCCTGACTTTTGTAAGTTCTGTCCTCTCCGACCACGTATATATTTTTAAATTTAAATTATTAAAGTTATATTTTAATTTTGAGACTGCTGACTTCTATACAAGTATCCTGTAGGTGCACTAGGATATACTGGACGTGCACTCCCCAGGTTTACGTTGTATTTTTCCTCTTACTTATATTCTATGCTGGATTGTCTCAGAGGCTTCTTTGTACAGTTTACACCTTGGGTCTTGCCTGGTGTGGCAGACCCCCACTTCTATTGATCTGGTGCTGAGTCATGGCGTACTAATGGGGGAGGGGGGTGCAACACACTGCCAGTGTCAACTCACCCCGATCTATTCAATTCTATTCTATTCTATGCATACTAGTGCAGTGATGTGGAAGAGCGGGAGAGGAGTGTTGAAGCAAGTAATGTCAAGCTGCCGTGCCACCGCCAGGTGCTGCCTATCCTCCTTCACGGGCCTCCAGTAGCGTAAGGATCTGCTCTTACATGAGCGCAGCACTGCAGGCAGTAGTGAGGCTGGAGCAGAGAGCAGCATTCTCCACCGTTTGAGTCATCTATAATTCTGAGTATAGACTGTAAGGGGTGAAGGGTTTTTATCTGAAGGGGGTGGTATATGAATTTTATGTGAAGGGATGTGCATTAATTTTATCTAAGTGGTGCAGGGTTTTTATGTGAAGGGGATTCATTTATTTAATGTAAGGGGGTGCAGAGTATTATTTGTGAAGCGGTGGGTGTACAGATTTTATGTAAGGGGTGAAGTATTTTTTTGAATGGGGGTATACATTTTATGTAAGTGGGTGTAGGATTTTATTTGTGAAGGGGTGGTGCAGGGTGTTTGAGATTCATTAATTTTACGGAAGGGGGTGCAGGGTTTTTGTGCAGGGTGGGTGCAGGAGTTTATATATTCTTGAAAACATTTTAAAAAGTATGTGGGTTTGTTCATTTTAAAGAGGGTGAGGGGGGGGTGCCAAACACATGATCCACCCCAGGTGTAAAATGCTCTACACTCCTGGTGCTGAGTGCCTGGTCCTGTTCTGCTAGGATTAGTGCCACAGTGCTGCCCAACCCAGTACATTACACATTTATATATAATGGGATCCCGGTGTATACGTAGGAACAAAATAACAAAACCCCAAAAAAATTCTTTAAGCAAGTAGAGTAAATACCTTTCTAGAGTACATATGCAAATATTTTATTGGAAATTCCTTGTCCGAGTACAGGGAGGTGAACCTAGTAAGTTTAGAATACATTTTTTCTAAAGTATGTAATGCCTAGTTTACATAAGTCATGTAAACCAAATGTTAAACCAAAAAAAAAGAGAAGGATAAATCACAAATGAAATGGAGATAGCATGTGTTCCCCATTTATTGAAGAAAATGGTAAAATTAGTAGTAATGTACCCAGCATATACCCCCCGATTGAATAAAGTAATGTTAATGAATTACTTAAAGGACCACTATAGTGCCAGGAAAACATACTCGTTTTCCTGGCACTATAGTGCCCTGAGGGTGCCCCCACCCTCAGGGACCCCCTCCCGCCTGGCTCTGGAAGGGGGAATACACACACACAGACTGCTGAATACATTCCAGC